CACGTACTTGTAGAGCCGTTACCAGAAAATAATTAGTTTTTTTATATTCATATCATGTAATAGTGATATATTTTTTACGTCCTTCTGGGGCTATATTTTTTATTTTATGTATTTACTTCAGCAAAGTTTTTATTTCGTAATAAAAAAATTCTCAAAATTTTAGAATTCGAATAAATAAAGACAAAATCATTTTGATATAAAACTCTATAGTAATACTGATATATGGGAAAAAATTGAAGTCGTTTAATCATATTAATATATACGTCAAATATGTCTCATAAATCTAGAAATAACAGACGCAAAACTCAAGGTAGATTCACCGATAATCCTAAACAGTATATGCAATTTTTAAACCGGGATAAGTACATGCAAAGAAAAGACAAAGACCACATAACTATCATAAATAAGAATACACAAGATGTGAAAGCGATTTTTGATTATGTAGAACTGTGCAGATATCTAGAGGTAAATAATCTCGGTTCGTATATTCTCAATGTGTAACAATTAATTGACTTATTTTTCGTATATATTAGGTATCAAAGTTACTCTATTAATAGAATCTTATGATGGTGTTGATACAGTTGTTCTCGTTTCATCAGAATCGTACTCATCTGTATTAACATTACCTTTATCCAATAACATTTTACGCATGACACATATAATCCTAGTTCTAAATGATAATAATGCATGAATTAAATGGTATACATTTTCAGGATCTGCATTTGATAAACTTAATGGAATAGGTGCACGTTCGAGAAGGCAGGATTTGTATATACCAGACTCCTTACTCATACATCGAAATTCTAGCACAGTACCGGTGACATTAATTGTGAAGATTGTTAATATATTTTTTATCGTTATCCCTTTGATTTTCTTTTGCTGTTTAGCACTTATGGTATAATCAATAGAATCCTTAGAAAGTCGATTTAATTTTTTGTGATCCCTCCACTGTTTTTCAATGGTGGAATCCGGTCGTCCCGTTTCAAGATATCCAATCTCTAGAGTATTACCTTTTATTCCAACAATTACTGAAAAATCTGGTCGTCGTGCAGATTTAGAAGAGCCTTTTCGTCTAGCACTTGCCCTACTCGCCTTATCACCCCTACATAAATAAATATAAATATTTTCGAGGCTAATATTATATTAGACAGAAAACGCAAATTTTACTCACCATTCCACCCATATATCGCAATTAATCGGCAAATCACTCATTACGATATTTAACAATGGCGACAAAACTTCACAGACATAAGTACCTTCGTTTATTGTATTTTTTTTGGTAGTCGCAAAAGATCTCCAGTTTGGTGAAGCCCAAATTCGTCCCAACGCATCTAACATTCCATTCGCGATCTCTTGTAAAATTTCAGGGGGGTCTAAATATTGACCAAACTGGGAATCTCCAAATTTTTTAATCTTTTTTTCGCTTTTCTTTTTTATTTCTTTGCGGATAAAATCTTCACAGCTACTCACTATCGCCTCATCCCTCAGAAGTATTAAAAATTTCCCACTCCACGCCTTAAAAGTAACGCGAGACTCATCAGATAAATCAACAATAGGGAATAAGCTCTCATCTAGTATCCCGGAACAAAGAGGATGATCGTATCCTAATTCTACCACCTGTACCATTTGCAACCTTACATCTATCTCTTCCCATGTGATTTTTTCTTTTCCAGTACTCTTCAAGGCAAGCTAAATTTCGAATTGGTATATTAATTATAATGGATTTTAATAATAATTCCTATTAAAAATTAACCTTATGTATATCTCGCTTTAAAGCATCTAAGTTCTCAGTTGCGTCTACCACCCATGAGGGTTCCACTTTCTACATTTATGCAATTTAACCATTACTAAGATTTCAGAATATTCGGTAAAGGAGATAGAGTAATTACTTACAAAAACATTCATCTGTACCAAAGAGTCAATGTAGGTAAAGGCCTCCGATATCTAAAAATTAATAGATCTATTAGTTATGCCAAGAATGAAAAATAAATTCATAATATTTGCGCAGATCAGCAGGTTTTCATTTCCACTATCATGTCAATATTATTTGGCCAAAGTTATAAATATTAAAACCCCAGAGTTTCCACGCATAATGTTTGTTGTGTATAAACAGTTACTGTTGACGAGCCCATTGCAATAAATATCATTACTATGGAGGCGCAACTACTTCACTGTTTATACACCACTACCCGCTTCAACCGCCAGGGGTCGTAATAAAACCATAGAATAATCATATCTACTTAAAATAAGTATATTTTTAAGAGAACTCACACGAGTTTTCAAGGCATCTCCAGTTCCAAAGTCATTAAGAATTCTCAATCTTTCGTCATCGTCTATAGCACAATATTTAATGCATTTTCAAGCACCTCCGTGAATTTTTTTATCTCCGTTTCTCTATCACCCGTCCACTCGCCCGCTTCTATGCGTTTGTATAAAGCTGTAGCAATATTGATATCCAAGATGGGTGTGTATGATACAAAAAAAACATCCATTTTTATAGATAAAGCATTTAGTATAAATTCGCAAATAGACAAAGTATTTAGCGTAGTGTTAGTGTGTAATGGATATAAAAAATTACTATAAAAGCAATGAATATTTATCAATTGAAATACTGCCCTTTTTAAACGTATTCCTTCTACGTATTACTCTAAATTTATCGAATGAAACAATAGAATGTGTTTATGCAAAAAAAATTTTCTCACAAAGAAAATGGATGTACATAACATAGCGGGCTTTCCCTGTGATTGGCTTATTTCATTTTGTGTAAAATGACGATCATTACCAAAATAAATTTTT